TAACGTACGTACGTACGTACGTACGTACGTACGTACGTACGTAACGAGTACGTACGTAGTACGTAGTAGTACGTAGAGTAGTAGTAGTAGAGAGAGAGAGAGAGAGAGAGAGAGAGAGAGAGAGAGAGAGAGGGAGAGAGAGATAACCTGTCGCTTGTAAGGATCAACAACCAGATCTTTTGTGAGTGTCCAATTGATCTCAGTGCTCAAATGGGGCTTTACAGAAAACCCAAAAAACAAGAGCCCTTGTGCTGTCTCATCTCTCAGCTTGATTCTCTCGACAAAAAACGAACTCACCTGCACCAAACGAGAGGAGTTCGGCCCAAGAACAAGCTCGCAATCACTGTAACACCCGTAGCGCAAGCCCAACGAGACTGTCACCAAAAACCCAAAAAGAAACCAATCTTAGATATTCAAATCATTAAACCGACGAAGAGAAATCACGAGGAAAAGGGAGGAATTGCATGCCACAAAACCATAGAATCACAGGTGTAACAAACCCAGCCCAAGGTTGGGTTCGATTGTTGGATAGGTGTGGCTCCATAGACCTGTACATGACTTGCCGTGTGTGTGGTGTTGTTGAGTGAAGAGAATGATTGAGAACAATTGAGGCAAATGGCAGTTGGAAAAAGGGGGAAACTAACTACTGGTCATGCTAAAGAAAGGTAGAGAAGAATAGCAGTTGGCTTCTTTGTTCTCTTCTTATTTTTGTTGAAAACTTATTTTTCTTTTTGAATTTTTTTAAATTCTTTATTTTTGTAGATCAAGATCAAATGGGTTCATTACAATTGAAATGGGAGATTAGTGTTATTCGTTTTGTTTTGTGAATGTTAGGTGAGTGGAGATAATTAAGCACCAGTACTGCTCAATGTGCTAAAGGAGAGCTGATGGGCGTGATGGTCATTATAGTGAGAATGCTAGGTAGGATTAATTGTTTCTTTGGAAATTGTAGGTCTAACATAGTTTAAATTGGGAATTACCTGTTTGAAAGCATTTCATTCACCTAAGAAGATGGAGAAGAAAACAAATTAAGTCCAGAAATAAAAATAAAAATAAAAATAAAAATAAAAATAAAAATAAAAATAAAAATAAAAATAAAAATAAAAATAAAAATAAAAATAAAGAGCAAGAGAATGTAGCATCTGTAAAGGTGAGAATGAGTCAACCCCAAAAGATTCTTTTCATAATACTCAAAATAAATATTTCATCATCATCAGTGTCAGAGCCTTTTTCCAACTAATTGGAGTCAGCTGCATGAATGCCTTATGGCTTCATAAAATGTTTTTTATGTGGGTTGTCCACCTAACATAACCCACTGAAAAGTTTAAGGTCCTTCCCGTTCTTAGACTACCAAAATAAATCTTCTTAGACTACCAAAATAAATCTTTCTTTTCTATTTTTTTTTCATTTTGTCCAACATTTATCTTTTTACATAAGAAAACCCTAAAACCTAACTTCTTCACTAAGAAATCATAATCAATATTAAACCTAATCTTTCATCTCTTATAAATTAAAATTTCAATTCTATCTTTCAATTATTTATAATAAAAGAAAACAAAAATACATTAAAAGAAAATTAAAAAGCTGAAATAACCCGAAATCTAATTCTAATATCTCAAAATTAAAAAATAAATAATACTAAACCTGTAGATAACTCCCCTGAAATTCTGGTTAATAGGGTTCTCAGAAACCTTAATTTTTAGCTCGGGACAACATCAAACCTAGTAGACCCCATTATACCATTTTCAATAGCCTAAACAACAAGAAACCTAAACATAGATACCTTAAAATCTAAGCTTTGAAGACCACTCAAAACTTACCAAAAATTGATCAAAACCAAGCTAGATTGTAGGGGAGATCGGGAACTTTACAATGGGCCAAGAATCACCCAAATCCAATACATTGCTTGATAGTTATGACTCATGCAAATTTGTTTAAACAATTTACCGTTTAGTTCATGTGCGAGTCATACATGTCGCATATGGGCTTGCATGACCCAAGGGGACTTGTGGACCCACGAGTCGTGACGTGTCGTGCAAGCCCAACAGCCCCAAATGCTTCACGAGCTCTTAGAAGCCTCTGGAAGATCTATTGAGGCGGTTTTCGATCCAAAAGGTCGGCTTTGACCAGCTAGATCAAGCCAAATCTCCCTGAAATAATTATAAAAATTAGTTAGATAATTAAAACCCAAATTTTCAAATTTTTTGTAAGTGTCCCTAGCCTCATTCTATATAAACAGCTTAGAAAAATACTAGAAAAACTTCCAAAAAATGATCTAAAAATCCATAATTTATAAAAATTCACAGAAAATTAGATAAAATCCCATAAATTTCCTAAAAATCCCAAAAGATTATGGGAATTCATGAAAAATCTCAAAAACCCTAGAATATTAGGGAAAACATTAGAACAACCTTAAAAAAATACAGAAAGGTCTTACAAAAAACCTTGACATAGGACAAAAAGATCATATTTAGGACTTAGAAACCCTAGAACCTAGATCTAAGAAAATACATTATAATTCTTTCCAATTTCCTAGGCCATGGTGCTTTCCAAATCTATCTTTGTGCAAAAAGCAACAAAAAATAAGAAGTTGAGTGCAAGAGCGGCTTGATCTGAGCTTGAAACTCTGGGTTTTGGGTCCCAAGTAAGTAATTCATCATTTTATTTAGAGAAAATTACATACATATCCATTAAATTTTGAGTTATTACGGATGTACCGAATATTTTCAATTATTACATGTTTGTCCGTTTTTTACCATTCATAACACATTTTTTTTAAAATGATGACTTTGCCCTTTTTCTGGTGTTCAACATCCAAATTGAAGGTTTTTTTCGGATGTTCAACATCCGAATTCAATATATGTATTTTCGGTTGTTGAACAACCGAAAATATGTTGAATTCGGTAGTTCAAGAACCGAAATTTAGCGATTTTTGGTTTTTGATTAACCAAAAATATGTTGAATTCGTTTGTTCAACTTGCTTGTTTGTATTAATATTTATTGTTTATTTTGTGTTTATTTGAGTATTTGTTGTTTGTTTATTGATTACTTGAATTTTTTTAGTAGTACACTATTTCAATCTAATATGTAATACTGACATATTCTGAACTATAAGTAGTTAGAAATATCCAAATTTTTTGTATTCCTTATTGTATTGATTTTTTGTAACACAAATTTTTCTATTCATTTAATATAGTAGCATTGGCGATGGTTATCGAGAGAGTGGAACTGGTATTGTGATATAGGGGTCATTTGAGATGAATGCAGATGATGAACGTGGTATTTATAAAAGGGGAAAATTAAAGGTCATGAAGTATAATGGAAATAGTTCCTTCGAGTAACTAAAAAGTCATTTGGTAATTTAACCATGTGTGATCTTAGCTATTATGTACCACAACACAAGTCTATCTAGTGGGCTTGAATTGATTGATGTAAGTGATGATATAGATGTATCTTTTATGTTGGGGGAGGAATCTTCGAGAATTGTTGTATATATTGCTGCTACAATGGAGCCAGCATGGTAATCTGTTGCTGATGGCCCATCTTCAAGAAATAGGTATATCTACAATTTACTTTTTCATCTGTAAATTGCTTTATTTTAATCTTTTATGTGCATAAATTGTTGCTTCATCTTACACTCTATCTTTTGTCAACAGTCGGCATAACACATTGCATGATCAAGATCAAAACATTCAAGTGGTGCCCGACCCTAAGCATGTACCAGAGCGTGATATGGAGGATATTGAACCACTAGAAAGCCCATATAGAAGAGTTGGTAGCGAGGTTTAATTGAATATTGGACAATTTTTTGAAAATGTCAATGAATACCGACATCATCTAGTTGATTTTGCAATCCACAATAATTTGTTCTGACGTTTGACAAAAGTGAATTGGGATGGGTGTGGGTAAGTTGCAAGACTGAGGGATGCACATGGCAAGTGTGGTACTTACGAGTTGGCAATGCCGCATACTTTAAAGTGAAGTTTATGGTTAAGGAGCACACATGCAGTGGTACAATGGGGAGGGTGGTCCATCAGCCACTAGCTCGTAGTGATTGGGTGGCAAAAACGATTAAAGGACGCCTTATTGACTAATCAAAAATTAGAGTGAAAGACATCGTAAAGGATGTCCAACGTGATCACAGTGTCAAGCTTTCCTACATGCAAGCTTGATGAGGAAAAGATGTTGCTAGAGAGATGATAGACATGAACAACAATACCATGACTTCCCCTTGAATATGGACAAGATCTGAAGAACCAACACAGGAACTGAAGTTCGCATCCACTTAGATGAAGGCACGTTCAAATGACTATTTATTACTTATCGTCTATGTATTATGGGTTTTGTTAATGGATGCATGCCACTAATTGGTATTAATGAGACATTTTTAAAAGGAAAATATCAAGGCATATTATTGTGCATCATCGTCCTAGGTACAAATAATGGGCTATTCTCATTGGCATTTGCAGTGGTCGAGAAGGAGAACTACCAGAATTGGTATTGGTTCTTAAGTATATTGAGTGAGCTATTGAATGAGTATCCTAATCTGCCTGCCTTAACAATTATATCATATCTACAGAAAAGCCTGTCAGAAGCAATAGAGAAAATGCTTTCCCACATGGTTTTCATCATTCTGCATGTGACATATAGGAGAGAATTTCAAGGGCTTTATGAAGAAGTCAGCAAATACTGAAGTATTGTTGATGCTGTTTTGGAAGGCTGCCCGTAAAGCGACCATTGGTGGGTTTGAAAAAATAATGTTTGATATACAGTGTTACGACCCATAAGCATATGAGTGGATTAAGAATATCCCTCCCAAAATTTAGGCAGATGCCTATTTTTCAGGGTCAAGATACAATCATCTTACCTCTAACATGGCCGAGTCTTTTAATGCTTGGATTTTATCTGCTCGAGAGAAGCCAATCATTACAATGTGTGAAGAAATAAGGGTACAGTTGATGATCAAGTTTGAAGAGAAGAGGGAATTAGGTAATACTTGAGTAGCATGCTAGTACCGCAAGCCCAAGAATTACTCGACTTGTGAAAGATGAAGGCTAGATATTTGCACACAGTTATATCCACCATGGACATGCAGTTTGAGATCCACTATCTTGGGAAGAAGTATGCTGCCGATTTAACGTATTGAACATGCAGTTGTAGAAAATGGCAACTCAATGGCATTCCGTTTGGTCATGCTATTGCGGTTATTAACCATATGCATTTGGATCCCACTGCATACTATCTTCAGTATTTCACAGTGGAATACTTTAAAAGGCCTTTCAAACTCCCTTTGGACCTGTCCTAGATGATATTGAGTTGACAGGTATGTTCAATCGGACAGTGTTGCCACCAATGACTACACGCCTTCTCGGTAGGCCAAAAAGGCAACGAAGAATATCTGAGACCAAACAGCCCATCATTAGGTCTTTGAAGTGCAAACGATGCGGCGCAGTGAGTCATAATAGGAGACATGCAGAGAACCGATAGAAATTGCGTGTTGTTAATCTTGTGTTTTTGTATCGAATTATTAATTTCATGAATTAATGAATAGAGTGAATTCGGTGTTGTCAATATTGTGTTGTTGTACTTGGT